AATTTGTCTCGTCTGAACCAAGCGTGTTCTTCGCTTCGCATCGATATTTTCCAGAATCTTGCACTCGGCAGTTAGTGATTTCCATGGTTACTACGCCATCAGAATGAGTCATCGCGTACTCATACTTCGAAAGTTCTTGACTGCCTTTGAACCATTTGACCTGAGAAAATACAAAAGACGTTCATAAACCGCTGTATTCTTTAAATAAAAAGGGAGCTGTCATTGAAGTAAGAAAATATGCATTAGCGGAATATTTCAATTCATATACACAGTACAGCGCTACATTTCATAACTTCGGCCTAATCACAAAAGGATTGAAGTCCTACACGCAGATGTCGCTTCAAAATTTCTGAAGAACAGTCATTGATGATCCCAATTCCCACATTAACCCTTGACTAATTGACTTGATTCTTCAGTTCCACTTCAGCGCAAAGGTGGGTCTTTTTTCTCGTGCATCAATGCCTTGGTCATCTTTATGAAGATTTACGGACTCCATCAATCCAAAAATTATCGTTCCGCGAATTTTTGAAAATTTTATCCTCTTGACCAGAAGAGTTACGGATAGTTTCCCTAACCAGGACATTTTTACACTCACCGATTCATTTTTAGACATATCCTAAACCTTTCATGGATTTCATAGTTTTCCAGATGGGATCAATACCAAGAGTTAAACACGATTCCTCATCCTACTCAGATCATATCGACGAAAAGAACCTCCTTATTTTAGTCAAGTGTAAAAAAATGATTAGTGCGAAAAACGCAGTAAAAAAAAAAAAAGCTCACGTCAGGAGTTGGTTTGCCACTCAAGCAACACAGCAATTTAACACTGCTGCCAACTTGAATGACACGGGGTCGCAACAAGAACGTGAAACACGGAGCAGAGTCACGGGCTTCCTGCCAAAGATTCTTGATTTCTAATGGCTGTCTTTTCCTTTGCACGCCGAGATCCGGTTTCACAATAGACACATCCGTCGGAACCGCTTTAAATAAAATGCACAAAAAAAAACCAGACATGAACGTAAAAAATACGTCAAGATTGTGATGACAGATACAGTCTAACCACGTTAAGCCGCCACCCTCGGCAACTGCCGATTAATTAAAAAAAATCGTCCCTAATGATGATATCATCGGAACCCCGTTAAAACGCCATCCGCTAAAACTATTGAAAACTGAATAATCGCTCCAGCTAATTAATTTTTGCATTCTATAGCCAGCCGACAAAATTAAAATTCTTGGGAGAGGTCTCCAATAAAAAATGAAAAACACTAACACGAAGAAGACATAATTTACTTCTTGGGAACATTGGCTGGATATAATTCCCACATACGAGGGTATTTTGATTTCTGCCAAGAAGAAAACAAATTGCATTTCCTATTATACTTGATTTTCATATTACTTCAGCTTTTTTGATGAACCATCAGGCCCCTTGAAGCCCTCCACAAACGTGACAATTAACCCTCACGAAAAAATGGTGGTGTCTTATTAACGAGGTTCGACTGTAATTGAGGTAAAAACATACGTTGCACGTTGAGAAACACGGGTTCTTCTCGGGCGCCGTAGTGGTTCTCAGCCCTGATGATGTACTCTCCTCTGTCCTCTAGTTTCACGCGGTTGATTACAAACGTGTAATCGTCGATCAGGTAGCGTTTCATGTATTTGACCGACTGCCGCAACTCGGCGTTGTTGTGGTACCAGGAAACTGTAGCGGGAGCAACGGCAATAACGCGACAAGAGAACTTTGCGCTCTGGCCTTCGAAAGCAAATGTGCTCTGAGGTCTGATGACAAACCGCGGCGCAGCCTGGCGACGGTCTGCAAAAAAAAAAGTCAAGCCATAAATGTAGGATAATTATGTCAGTCATGAGAAAGTAGATTAAATTTGGGTTTTCCTGAACAATAAACAGGGCCTTAAAAGCCTCACTATACTGTTCGCAATGCGGCAAAGTCTGAAATTCTCACTAGAAGCACTGAGCATGATATTATTCTTATTTGCTACACAAATAAGAAGTCTCGTTGTTTTCAAGTCTTGCGAATCAGCCAAAACCCGTAATATAAGGCAGAGGCTTATGAAAAATAATCATCCATAATCACGATTAAAAATTATACTTATTTAGACAAAAATTAGATAATTGATAAAACTGTACACTAATTTAAACTGGAAAACTCTTTTGGCCATTCATGAGTGCTCGTTGAAAATGAGAAATAAAAATATGTTTAACATATACAGTAGTACTGTACCTTGAATTTGATGGTGAAGGCACACAAAATTTCAAAGTTTACATGTTCCAACGATAATCCTCCACAGTGACTTGGCGTTACAGTATTCGTACGAATTTTCTCCTACACTGCTCCAAGGTTTAAAACAAGCATATTCTTGAAAAACGTTTTCAATAACAACCTCCAGATTCATTCCGTTTATCGGTTAAAGAAAATTTTCATCTTCCAACACATAGTAAATGTCAGGGGCTCATAAGCCTCTCAGACAAAGATTGAAGTTTCACCCTTCTAGTGAAATAAAAGAGTGAGCACAATCGGCCGTTTGCGGCCTGAGGTCAGTACCTCAATCGTCGGTTT